CCAGCCACCAGCTACTAGTCTGAGGTTCATTAGCCTGATCAATCGTTCAGTCTCGTCTCTTCTCAAATATTTTCTCTGTTTTTCTCTGTTTAAATCTAATTGATTCGTTCTTATGTCAAAAAGTTTTCTGCTGTTGTTCCTGCTTTTCTTCATCGCTTCTTTCCGCTGGCATCATCGATTAGGTCTGGTGTTGAGAAGTATTTTGTGCCCTCTCCTTTCTCCATCTCTTTCTTTCAGTGGCTCATTGATTGTTTCTGGTGTTGAGGAGAATTGCCTATTTGGTCCTCAAGTAAAAAGCACTAAGTGTTATTCACGTTCCTCCCCAGCCTTGGCCTGACCTCCCTTTTGCTTTCAGTGTAGACGCTGTCGATAAGCTTTGGAGTCATCCCATCATTTGCAGAGAAACTTTCCATTTTCTATGTTGCTTTTTCCTGTCTGAGGAGATTTCCTCCTCCTCGCCCTGTGAAGGCCGGCTGCTGAAGAACGCTTGTCTGTTGCCTCCAGCATGTGTGAGAACGATGAGCTATTAAGTTGCCTTAAAACAAATGGCACTCATTTTTAAACTGGTTTCTCTCATTTAAAAATGACATTTGAAATGGAGCCCGGTGAAGTGGACACATTGTAAAGATAAGATTAGCCTTCATTAGTCCCACATGTTCTGTTCTGTCAGTGTTTTCAGTTGTTATTGGGATTTTTGATAGTATCAAACTTTAAGTTATTCCAGCCCATTCTCTCTCCCGAGGTGTAACACACGATTTGTCAAGTCCCGAGGCGTTCCTGAGGAACGTGAAAGGTGACCTTCCACGTTCTTATGCTAGTGCCGTTCCAGCCATGTATTCCAGCCCTGACCTTAACCAGCATTTTAACGACGTTAGACAACGCGATTGAAGTAAAACAAACGCACATGTGTAGATTCATTCCAAACGGTTCTCACGTTTCCTCATGTTTCCGATCCCGTAATATAAGGACGTGTTGGGTGCACGGAAGTGTAATATATCAACGATTTGTCACCTAGTGTAAAATGTTACGCTTTGGGAGTGAGAACGTGTTGGCAACAAAATTCTATTTGGAACAATTTATTTTTGTGTGAAGACTTTGAAGTCGAGTGTCTGGGTGCATTGTTGCACTACAGAAACCAAAGTATGGGCCTAATCTTTGAAATCAGTGCTTTCAATCCAATTGCTGCAGGTGTATAAAATCATACAGCAAGTCTGCCTTTACAGAAAGAAGGGATTGTTCTATGCTGTAATGGGATCAACAAGTCAGGTCAGGAAATTTCCTCCTTCCTAGATATTCCACAATCAACTTAGTTGGAAAGGAAACAGTAAAGTATAAAAGATTCATCAACACAATTAAAACAATTTGAAATTAAAAACATTTACATTTTACAGGTACAGTTGGTCATTCAGGGTTTCTGGAGTGATGGATCTAAATCTGAGGTTGTGGTCAACATGCATGGAGGAGGTCAGCAGAGTGTGTCTACAGGAAGCTGTCATTGTTTTAGGCTCAGCCAGCGGTGTTGGGGAGTTCGGCAAAACAATGAATGCCATCAGATTTGGAGCCACCATGCAACCATATGGAAAGTGTCATATTGCAGGTTCACTGTTCAGCATGAACACGATCACAAATACACTGACATGGATAGCTGATAGAAAATCACTACTGGAACATTATCAGTTAGACTGGCCTCCTACGAGCCCAGGCCGCAACCTTATTGAAGGATTAAGTTGGGATGGACTGGACAGGCAATGAAAACAAAAGCTGGAAAACTTTGGAATGCCCTTCAAAAAGCCTGGAAAATTCAGTTCAATTCAGTTTTATTTATATAGCAAAAGTTCATAACAACAGTTCCCTGAAAGCTCAATAAAATTGTCCAAACGATCCGTTTGCCTGTTCTGGTGTATTTCCATGTAGGTTTCCACCTCTTTCCCATTTTCCTAACCAAATATAAAGACATGTGGGGGCTGATATGTAATGTAAAATGAGTAAAACTAAGCTTGTCTTTAAAAATATAAATGTATGATATTTATGGGCCGATGTAGCTTTCAACTTTTTGAGTTTTTCGCTGAGGCAGACTGGTTAGGTGTTATTTCCCAGTCTTTATGATGCTTCAGTATTTGACATCCAACACAAATATGTTTCAATGCTTTCTTCAGCTTCTTTCTATTGTAAGGGAAGGTTAAAGAAATAAAAGGCTGGCTTCCACATTAGTGCATATCTGTGTCTGTGTGTGCAAGAAAATATCAGCTAAAGACCAAATAAAGAAATAAGCACTTACTTTTTAAAAAGGAGAAGTGGAGATAGTAATATCTTTAGACGTTTTGCTGAGTATTGATTAATTAGCTTGGACCTCATCCACATTGGTAAAGGAGGAGCACACAGAGCCTACGTCGAGCTGTTTCTGATCATGTTTACATGATGCATATATAAGGAGATGACTATAGTTCTCTGTTTCTCTTAAACACACGTCTCCTTCTCACCTTCTTTCCTTCCAGGTATTTTTCCTCTTGATTTCTCCCCTTTCGCGGCCCCTCCTGGTGTAGTCTGATAGTTCCTATCTTCAGACTATCACAGTCTGTTTCCTATCAAACTCCCAACTATGACCAACTCAATAAGGGCCATTGCCCAGTCAAAACAACGCAGCATCTGGTGCTCGTCACTATCCACAGGCACACATATCTTTATCAGCTGCAGTGTTTCGAGCAGCCAGACTATGGTCGTCGTCTTCATGCTTCACGCCTTGAGGCGACTTTTGTTGTGATTTGGCGCTATATAAATAAAATTGAATTGAATTGAATTGAATTGAATGCTATTAGCTTCATGCTAATACTAGCACAAACATGTGGAGAGGAGAAGCTCTGTCATCAAATGGATTTTATCGAAAAAATACGTTTTAAAAAGAAAGAAGCTGTCATCAGTGAGGTGTAGTTTGTTTCTCTACAGTTGTGACAAGAGTCCAAAGTTTTGAATCTAAGCAGTTTCCAGTTTAAAAACATCCAACCGAGCCTGTCCTATCACATCAGCTACAGAAACACACTGGGGCACTTTATCAGATTGATAAAAGCCCAGAACTGCTATTACAATCAAATACTTGCTAAATGATATTTGATTGTTGTAGCAATCAAATAATAAAGAAACATTTTTGGTCTAATGTATTTGTAGTTTTATTGGGACATTTAAACAATGCCTTTGGTTTAGTCACACTGCTTGTATAAGAAAAAAGAGCTCGAGAGGATGTGACAACGTAGGGCTGCACGATTTTGCATAAAATGAGAATCACGATTTT